ACATGATTATAGAAGGATGAGAGATAGTTTGGAAAGAAAGCATAGTCCCTGCTTTCCAGAACCCTGCAGAAAAATAAATAATAAGAAAGGCTATAACTGAAGCATAATATGTAAAGCAAGCTGGGAACACAAGAAATTGAATATATAGTTAATCTGACTTATTAAAAAAGTTGAAGTGGAAAGCACCTTGCAGATTATTAGCTGGTAATATAACTACCGTTTTGGGTTATTGAAATATAAAAAACAATTAATTGTAGACATTTGTTTCTTATGTTCAATTATGACCTCTATTTATTCTTTGGAAGAATAGATTTTTTGTTTTCTATACAGAGGAGACAGCTTAGAAAATCAAAGATCTAATTTCTCTATAGTATTCATGGTCTACTTTCCTAATAAATGCCTGTTAGTAAAAAACACAGCAGTTTTAAAATTCTATTACTATTTATTTCTTTTTACAATTTTTTCCAGCCTCATTCTTTTGTATGTGGGTACCCAGTTGTCTTTGCAATTTATTCCAAGCTCCTCCTCATCCTTCACATTTAGGAGTGGAAGAATAAATAGAGGCTATTTATGTTTGCTTGTTTTTTAGCTCATATAAAACCCTTGTTTAGTTTTTTGGGCTGCATAAGACTAGGTAAGTGGTATGATATCAAGAAAACTGTTCCCAAAAGATTAATGCAATTGAATTTTTGCCTAATGTGTAGTTATCAATTTAGAAAATAATATTACCTTTAAAAAATACTTGGTTTCAGAAAGGCATACAGTATTTCTGAGATCATCTAGATATGAACATTAAGAACTTGGACATTCTGAACAATCACATTGTGGACTGTGATTTTTAAGCTAACAAAGAAAACATACAATTTTAAACCTACTTTCTGTTTCCTGTGAGGCAAGGAATCATAGTTTTCACTGTCTATGAACAACTGTATTATTTGTTGGTGCTAATATAAGCATAGACTCAACCTATCCTGATAAGTTTGTACTATTATACATTTGTAAAATAATCAATAGCCTCATTCTATTTCCATATATTGTATTTCACACAGTTATTATAAACAGAAAGAACATCCAAGTCTTTATTGCCTGAGAACAGATTCTTTGATGTGTGGATTTGTTTAAAAATTACTACTGGCCCTTTGTTTTGCAGTACTTGTGAGCAAAAGAAAGAGATCTGGACCTGGTTGGTATGGCTTAGTTGGTTGGAATGTCTTCCCAATACCAAAAGGTTGCAGGTTCAATCCCCTGTCAGGGCACATACCTGGGTTTCGGGTTTGATCCTCACTCGGGGCAAAATACAGGAGGCAACTGATGGCAACCAATTGATAGTTTTCTCTCACATCAATGTCTCTCTGTCTGTCTCTCTGTCTCTCTCCCTCTTGCCTTCTTTCCCCACCCCCTTTTTCTTTCTCTAAAAGCAATGAAAAAATGTCCTTTGGTAAGGATAAAAAAAGACATTTGTGTATTTTGAATGAATTAATACATAAATCTATTTATTAAGCCCTCATGTTGGCAACTCTTAAGACTTATTACTTAAAAGAGAAATGAATCCCCTGAATTCTAAATGTGTGATGTATGTAATGTTTATTTTCTTGCAAGTCCAGGATGAGTCTTTGGTGGACAATTAATATGAGAATATCAGAAATAGAAGTTTTCTAAGAAACTACATAGTTGAAATATTCTTTTTCTAGATAAGGGAATGGAGGCCTAGAAAAGTGGATTGCCTTGAGTTGCGTATATCATTAGTGGTAAAGTAAGTTTCAGTACAAACAATAGGATTTGAAAAAATATTCTGCCTGTAGTCTGATTGCATTCTTCTGAATATGGGTCCACTAGATGAGGTAGAAACACTCCGTTTGAGTCCTCGTACATCTAACAGTATTATAACTAAGAAAACAAGCCTGATTGCTATGTATAAAAATGATCCTCTATATTAGATCTCCATGAAAAACCATTTTAAAAGCATCTTTACAGAAGAAAATATGTCACCATTCTTTTTTTTTTAAGATTTTATTTATTTTTAGAGAGAGGGGAAGGGAAGGGAAGGAAAGGAAAGGAGAATGGGGGAGAGACATCAGTGTGTGGTTGCCTCTCGCATGCCCCCCTACCAGGGACCTGGCCTGCAACCCGGGCATGTGCCCTGACTGTGAATCAAACCCACAACCCTTTGTTTCGTAGGCCAGCACTCAGTCCTCTGAGCCACACCAGCCAGGGCTCACCCTTCTTTGATTATCCATTCTCATATTTTACAGCCATCACTCTCAGAAACATTTCTTTATATCAGGAGGTTTCATATTTGGGTTTCATTAATCTCTAAGGAATCCATATTATGTGGGGTTCTGAACCCCCTGAAATTATGTGCAAAATTTAGTTCATAGCTTTTGTAAATTTCTCAAAGAACCACTACCCAAGATGAATCTGGATTCTCAGTCTACAGTTTAGCAGAGTTTTTGTTTTTTGTTTTTGCCCTATCTTCCTTAGAAGATACTTCTTATCCTCCATATTATAACTGTATTAATTTGGAGATTATTAATGTTTCCAAATGAAGAATTTCAGATCAGTTTAACTTTTCTCATAGGGTCTTTTTTTTTCCTTCACATTTTAATCCATTTTTATGGCTGTCTTTTGAACACTTTCCAAATTCTTTGTAAACCTGAAAGCCAAGGAGCTCAGAATTAGAAATTATATATTAATGAGATCTAGTTTAGGAGCTTGGATCTGCTGACAGTGAGCAGTTTCATAGGGATAGGGGCAGTAGAAATAAGACTGATGAGACAGGTCCAGAAATGCCCGCCCCCCATCAATATAGGCTAGGCAGACCCTCAAGGTCAAGAGAGTCAGAGCATAAAGGGCCCAGGTAAAGCTTAAAAGAATTGGGCATATTATTTCAAAGTTCAAGGCATAGTAAACAGATCCTGAATAAAGGAGTCAGAATAGTGAGCAGGAAGCAAGCCCAGACTTGAAGGTGACACACTGTCCCGCAGAAAAATCTGCATATGAACAAACTGCCACCTTTCTTAGTAAAAATCGATGCAGTCTTCCATTATTGAGACTCTTCCCTTGGAGAGGGTGCTTGTCTTCCAGATTTCCCTTCTCCTGTAACCTTCCCGGTCCCAGTAGCCTCCAGATGTTAGATACCTAAGAGTTATGTTTCCAAGAGGTGTGACTAATGGAAATAGTGGGATGAGGTTTACAGGCTATAATATATGAAGTAGGTTACCAAAATTACTGGGGTGGGGAGGGATTACAGACAATTTTAGGACTCTGATGAAACTGTGGATGGGCTTTCCCTCCAGAAGGAAGGCACCAAATACTTGTACATATTATACAAATGATTTTATACAATTTAATCTGCCCTGAAACTGATTCATAGTTAGTAACTGGTTGAGAAATGTGGTATTCTGTATTCCTTATCTGTGTGTTTCCTGTCCTTTATTAATGTTTCATATAATTGTTTCATGTGCTATCTGAGCTACACTAAGGAGGTTTGGGCATGCAGTTTCCGCGTGTGAGCCAAAAGATTAACAGGAGAAACGGCAACACTGAGCCCATGGCACTGGTGACACCAGTGTTTTGGAAGGGATCCTTGCAGGGCATGGTGAATTTGGGGGATAAGGACTGTGCCAAAGAAGTCCACCCTCCCCTTCTCACTGGATGATTCTACCTCTATTCCTATGCAAGGGTCTCGATTTTATTTTAGCAACTAAGGAGGCGTTTCTTTATGAATCATGTAATGTGATACTGATTCTGAGCTGGTTAGTCTTCTTATGTGGTTCTTAATAGAGTAGCATCCAATTCCCAAGCATGGCTGGCCTAGACCCTCAGGAAGAAGGTGAGACCTCTGGCTAGGTTAGGGTGGGAGGGCAGAGCAGGAGGAACGACTTTGTACGACATCCTGAACTTCACTCATGGCTCTTTGTGACTATTGTTAATTTTACTCATCCATGTTCACTGGCAGGCCCACTTACTCTGTCTAGATTTATTAAATATATGATTGAATTTAGAGAGTAATTATATGGATAATTCAAGCTAAATAAAACCCCATTAACCACAAATTTAAGGTCCTCTGAAACAGAGTACCTGAATTATCCAGTTAATTCTATATTTATAGAATACCTAGAAAAGGGCATTTTATTTATTTTTATTTTTTATTTATTTTTAAAGATTTTTTTAAATTTAATTTTAGAGAGAGAGTGAAGAAGGGAGGAAGAGAGGGAGAAAAACATCAATGTGCAAAAGAAACATCAATCAATTGCTTCTTGCATGCCCCCAACCAGGGACCTGGCACACAATCCAGGCTTGTGCCCTGACTAGAAATCGAACCAGTGACCTTTTGGTTTACAGGGCGATGCCCAGCCCACTAAGCCATACCAGTCAGGGCAAAAGTCCTTTAAAAAAAATTACAGTAAAAAAAATCTATTTGAAGAAGGTATTTCCAAATCTGTAAATATTTAAAGGTCTATTAAATAAGAATCTAGTCTTCATCTTTTGCTTTAACTGTTTTGGTTTTTTTTTTTTCTCCCTATACTTGATCTTTTCAAATCCTGTATATTCTTGAAACCCAGTTTGGGGCCTACTCTTCCTACAACACAGAGTAGAACCTACTTTGATGACATTTTGGAGTATAAATGAGATAACCCCTTTCTGTCTTCAGCATAGGGCCGAGCACACAAGCAGTATGCATGTTAGCTGAAAAGGATGGTAATGTTTATGATAATGGTTTTTCCAAATACTCTGGTCAGCATTTGATCTTATTCTCAGACCATAAAAAATATTTACTTTCTATACCACTTTTTGATACTAGAAAAAATATTTACTTTTATACCACTTTTTGATACTAGCTTCCTGGTTCAGATGTTATTTTTTTATCTTCATAATGAGATTGCAAATTTCTTCATAGACAAAGAGATACAATATAAAACTTGCTGAATTCAGTTGAAAATTGGCATTTACTTTCTTTACAAGCCCCATGGTCTTATTTCGATTCTTTTCCTCAACAGAGAATGAAAACACTAGCAGAAAGGAGGAGGAGTGCCCCATCTCTTATCCTGGATAAAGCCCTACAAAAACGGCCTAGTACCAAGTAAGTGAAAATCTTTCTATCATACGTTTTGTATGTGCTACATCTTTTTTATGTGTGGGCTTGTTTATTTATTTGTTTTTTATCAGCACCAAAATTCTCTATTTAATGGTAGAAAATACAACTTCTGTTATGAGGTTATTTAATAAGGCCTCTTCTTTTTGTGAATCATAAAGCACTATAGACCTGGCACTTATGATCAATTGTTTTAAAACTGATTCAGAAGTGGATCCCACATCATATAGCACACAAGAATGCAAGTTCCACACACTGTTAAAATTTATTTATGAAATACTTAGAAATCAGAATACTAAAATATGAGTTATTTTAACCACCATACATGTTTGGTTATGCACAAGCCTTTGCCTAGTACTTTACCATAAAGTGATGCCTATACATGGTTATAAGACAGATTTTTTACCACTTTGAGATATTAAGAAAGATTAAGATTATTAAAAACTGGGATGTTGATTTCTTTTGGCCTTATTGGTTAAATTAGTGAATTTATTAGTGAAATTTGAAGTGGAAAAACAAGCAAGTATCTATTGAAATGGTCATTTCACCAGTTGAGGCCAAATACTATTTCAGTGGACATTTTAAGAAAATCTTTCACAATGTGTAGAAATTAAATGGATAGTCAATCATTAATTTATTCATTAAATTTTAAATGGCATTATAACTCAGAATTTTTATGTTCAAAGGAATCCAGTAATGATTTTCTACTAATCTGTGAATCCTTTTATGTAAGTAGATGTCCTTATCACCTTTATTTAAAGTGAAGGTATATCTGATATTTCTATGAATTATATGCCAATTTAACATAAATTGACATCTATATGGAAGCATGGCATTTTTTTCAATGCAAAAAATAAATTATATAGCTAAATCACAGTCTGTGAAACTTTCAAAATACTTAGACCATTCTCAGTACCCAGCCAAGTTCCCAGACTCAGGCAGCTCCCAAAAGACACACACTGTAGTCATTGGGTGATCAGGAAATGTAAATTGCTTTTAGTAGAAGCCTGATAAAAATTTAATTAGGAAAATATTGTTCTGCCAAATAAATAAACAATACAGTAATATATTTCAGTACCAAAGTTAAATAACTTTTAGATTATTTGCATTAGTGTGTTTATCTTTGCATTATTATGGATAAAAGAGAATGGTTATAGCTTCATAGTTTGACTGTGATTGCCTAGAAAACTCAGGAGAAAGTATTTTTTAAAGGAGGTAGAGAGAGAAGGCAGAATTATCAGTACACCTGTCTTTAATTCTACTATATATGTAAAAATAGCTTTATTACTTACTTTTTTAAAAGACAGAAACAGTTTAAGGTAAAATTCCTTACTGGAAACTTCTGGGATGGATGCACACTGGGCTTTTCAGTTAAAGTAGCCTTTACATCACGGAAGCTTTAGCCCGAGATCAGAGGTCAGCCGTGGCCTGCCTACTGCCTAACCCAGGGCAAGGATCTGTAACAGTGCAATTGTAGGCACTGAAAGCTCATATAGACCTGTGGATCTCAACAGGGAGATACTAATCTTTAGGGGGCATTTTGAAATTTTGTAGCGCTTTTTAGTTTGTCTCAATGATTTAGTAGGCAGTGGCCAGAGAGGCTAGACATCATGTAATACACAGGACAGCCTATATAAGAAAGGATTGTGTGATTCCTGCATAGCTTTTGAATGCCCCATATATGGCATATTTGTGAAGGAGAGAAAACCCTTATATAATTATTTATGCCCATAACTTAACTCTTTTATATATAAATACTGTTTTATATACTTTTGTATAGTTCCAAAAATCACTAAAATTTCCAGAAATTCATCTACCTTGCATATCAAGAGATAATTGTACTTTGTATTGTTTGAAACCATTTCAGAAAATCACTTGGCTTTACTTCATTTTCCTGTACTTGTTGCATGGAATGGTTTCTTTTCATACTTCCCTTAAATTTAAATATGTTAATTATAAATAGGTATAAGCATCAGACTACTTCATTGTCTTTTAGTATACTCATGCCTGAGCATATGCATATTGAAATGCATAGTGTATTATGAGTTACTTTCATTGCATTTGCTTTCATGTTACTGTTAGAGTATTTTATTGATACATTTTCATTTCTGGATAGAAAAGGAGGAATTGGAATAGATGTATATGCATAAACTTTCACATAAAAAAGAGGGCATATGGTTTAATAAGATTGAGAACAACTAATGTAGATGAAATGCCAGGTTAGAGAAAATGCTAACACTTGCCTGACTTTCAGGGATTGTTTTGAGTCAGAGAACCAGTATGATAATGTGCAACCATCCCCTGCCCCACTCCTGTCTCATCACCTCTGCACTAAATGGTTGCCCACATTAGAGCCAGTTTTCCAAATTCCTGCCTCAGAAATATGATGGGGTTTGGGTTAAAGTAATTTCAGGCAAAAAGGTTGAAGTTGAGATTGTGTATATTTTAATCTTCAGTCTATTTCCTATGAGTTTCTCTGGGTCAGTAATATGAGTACATAGTGCTAGGGAACAGGACCTTTACCTATCTTATAGAAATAATGTTTTTACTCTCTGTAGTGCTGGTGGTTAACGTATAAACCCACCTGCCCCCCCACCACCCAAAAAGCTGTTGGGTGTTGTATGTACACAAGATATTTGCAAGTAAAATAATTCCAGGATCAGAAAGAACCTTACAGGTTAACTAGTCTAGTGGTTTCTGAACCTGTCAGTATTCCGCAGTGGAACCTGGGCACATTTTTCAAAAATTCTTCATAGTAAAATAATGCTTTGTACGTACCTGGTATTCAGTGATTATTTGTTGGATGAATTAGTGAATGAGCAAGTGACTCAATTTTCAAACCAAAAGAGGAATTTAATTAGTTTTTTATTGTTCAGTTACAGGTATCCCTATTTTCCCCCCATTACTATCCCCTGCCCTACCCACCCCTACTTCCCACATTCAATCCTCCCCCCATTGTTTTCTTTGTCCAAGGGTCCTTCATACATGTTCCTTGACAACCCTTCCCCTTCATTCCTCCCCTATCCCCCTCCATCCTCCTCTGTGGTTACTGTCAACAAACAAGTAGTGGCTAGGTTGTAAAGGAAAGGGAACCCTAATACGCTGTTGGTGGGAATGCAAACTGGTGCAGCCACTGTGGAAAACAGTATGGAGTTCCCTCAAAAAACTAAAAATACCTTTTGACCCTGCAAATCCACTGCTGGGATTATACCCTAAGAATCCCCAAACACCAATTCAAAGGAACCTATGCACCCCAATGTTCATAGCACCACAATTTACAGTAGCCAAGTGCTAGAAACAGCCTAAGTGCCCAACAGTAAATAAGTGGATCAAAAAAGTGTGCTACATTTACACAATGGAATATGATGCAGCAGAAAGAAAGAAGGAACTCCTACCCTTCGTGACAGTATGAATGGAACTGGAGAGCATTATGCTAAGTGAAATAAGCCAGGCTGTGAAGGACAAATACCATATGATCTCACCTAATCAACAAAACAAACAAGTGAGCAAAACAGAACCAGAGACATGGAAATTTAATGTGAGTTTCTGACAGTAGTTTGACTTTCCTGCTCTCCTTTAAGTAGCCAATACATAAGGGACTTTCCTTTTTTATTGGTATTTGTGAAATTCTGGCTAGGGAGAAAGGGAGATTCCTTTTAACAAAATAATTATCAGGAAATTATTTCAGCAGCAAAATACCACAAGAACTCATGTATGTGGCCTGGAAATACCACATATGTTGGCATTCTTGTGGTATTTCATCATTGTTTACTTAGGAATAAATTCAGACTTTCCCTCCAGAAATTCACTTGTCTTGATATGGTATTCAGCCCACCTTATAGAAATTACACAAAAATGTACCCACTTTTGTTTAAAATTACAGTCTGTTAGCACTTCTAAATTTGTATTCACCTGTTTCCATCCTTAACCTCCCAGTTAGCTTACATCCTTGCTATTTGCAAGACCTTGTGCTAGGTACTTTAAATACACTACCTTTTATTTTTTATTTTTTTAATTTTTTTTACATTTTTATTTTATTTTGTAGCTTATAAATCATGTTTATTCTATTACAGTTGTCTCAATTTTTAACCCGTTACCCCCCTCCACCCATCCCCCCTCACCCCGCCCACAGTCAATTCCCACTCTGTTGTCCGTGTCCACAGGTCATTCATACATGCTCTTTGACTAGTCCCGTCCCCTTCTTTCCACCATTGTCCTCTTTCCCCATCCCCTCTGGTCACTTTCAGTCTGCTCCATGTTTCCATGCCTGTGGTTTATTTTGTTCGTTAGTTTATTTTGTTGAGTAGAGTACACTTATAGGTGCGATCATATGGTATTTGTCTTTTATCAACTGGCTTATTTCACTTAGCTTAATATTCTCCAGTTCCATCCATGTTGTCACAAAAGGTAGGAGTTCCGTCTCTCTCTCTCTTTCTTTCATCCGTTCGTTCTTTCTTTCTTTCTTAAATGCAGACTGATTTTATTTATTTTTTTAAATGTGAAAGTTAATTATAAAATATTTTAAAAATTTACTTACTCCTCCTCCATCATGAAATCTAAATACACTACCTTTTAAATCTCTGTTTGCCGCTACTGAGAAGAGAAAAAGACAATGCCAGAGAAGCACTGGAATTTGGCAGAGGTGCTTGGGCTTTGTCTGCATTCAAGTGCAGGCTCTCTATCCTGACTTTTTGTGTGGCCTCAGATAAGTTAACCAATCTCTGATGCAGTGTTTTCCTCTGTAAAATATTAATCTAATGCTTGCATTATGGAATATGAAATGAGAAAATAACTGAGAGTGCTTAGAAGATTAACTTAATTATTAGTTGCCTCTTTCCTTTCCTTAGATAGATTTCATTTTTAAGCTTTAAACACGCTGACTCATCTAGAAAAATCAAGTTTGATAATGAAAAGCACCTACTTTTTCATCACAGCCTTGTATAACTAAAAGTTACTCATTGAGCCTGTCTCATTTTATAGTGGAAATT